ATCTCAGAATGAACAATAATTGATAAAATCAAGTCTGAGTCATACATAAAAAAAAATCGCAAGTTGATACATAATAAAGGGAACAAATTGAAGATAAAGATAAAGAAAGAATATTTACACTATTTACAAATTTACAAAAGGGGGAAGACTCCCTGTGCACTCTCTCGCCTCCCACCGGTTGCTTTTTCAAAATACAGTACTCTAATTATATACGTAGGAAAGAAAATGTGTTAAGATAGAGTTGCTGAAAATTTTCTTTTATGTAATTACGTACCTACTATAACATAAAGGAAAGGGTAAAAAACGGTAAAAGACCTTTTCGCGAGTTATTTTCCTTTCTCAAAAGAACAAACACGCTTTGCAAAGAAGGGGAAAGGCAACAGCTGCATGTAGTTGATTGTTAACACTTTCTGCATATTGCACTTCTGGTTTACTTAGTTGTTTCCTCTACTATCTAGCGTCAGACCCAGTGGCGTGCCAACCAGGGGGAGGCAGAGGGCCCCTCTAAAATTTAAGTGATGGGGCAAACGATGCGTTTCGCCCTTCCTGAANTATCTATAATTATATATTTACAATTATATATCTATAATTATATATTTACAATTATATATCTATAATTATATATTTACAATTATATATCTATAATTATATATTTACAATTATATATCTATAATTATATATTTACAATTATATATCTATAATTATATATTTACAATTATATATCTATAATTATATATTTACAATTATATATCTATAATTATATATTTACAATTATATATCTATAATTATATATTTACAATTATATATCTATAATTATATATTTACAATTATATATCTATAATTATATATTTACAATTATATATCTATAATTATATATTTACAATTATATATCTATAATTATATATTTACAATTATATATCTATAATTATATATTTACAATTATATATCTATAATTATATATTTACAATTATATATCTATAATTATATATTTACAATTATATATCTATAATTATATATTTACAATTATATATCTATAATTATATATTTACAATTATATATCTATAATTATATATTTACAATTATATATCTATAATTATATATTTACAATTATATATCTATAATTATATATTTACAATTATATATCTATAATTATATATTTACAATTATATATCTATAATTATATATTTACAATTATATATCTATAATTATATATTTACAATTATATATCTATAATTATATATTTACAATTATATATCTATAATTATATATTTACAATTATATATCTATAATTATATATTTACAATTATATATCTATAATTATATATTTACAATTATATATCTATAATTATATATTTACAATTATATATCTATAATTATATATTTACAATTATATATCTATAATTATATATTTACAATTATATATCTATAATTATATATTTACAATTATATATCTATAATTATATATTTACAATTATATATCTATAATTATATATTTACAATTATATATCTATAATTATATATTTACAATTATATATCTATAATTATATATTTATAACATATTTGAATATATTTATAATAAGACAACGGGCACTAGGTAGCCCGTTAATTTAATATAATTTAGCATTGAATCAAAAAAACTGTTCCGCTAAATTCCATCCATTGACATGTTTCTTATTAGACTCATGAAATACTTCTTTTGACCTATTAAAAAAGCAAAGTCAAAAATAATTATGATTCACTGCTGTGTAAAAAAATATTACTATCGCCACTTACTAGACTACTACCATTTCACTACTACTATTCCATACCGTTTTGCTACTGCAATTCCATGACATACTTCTTATTGGGTTCATGAAATACCCCTTTCACACTATTAAAATAGTAAATTTAAAAAATAATTAGAATTCTTATGCAGTGTAAAAAAGTACTACTTTCGCTTCTTACTACGTTACTACCATTCAAAAAGATGGACTCATTAAATACCCCTCATTCTAATAAAACAGCAAATTCAAAAATAATTATGATTTCTATGTAGTGTAGGTGTAAAAAAATACTACTTTCGCTTTTTACTACGCTACTTTCCATTCAAAGACATGTTTAGTAGTTTTCCCATTAATACTCGATTCGCGCAAATCAAAATAGGAAAATAAAAATAATTATGATTCCTATGTGGTGTAGGTGTAAAAAATACTGCATAATTATATTTATTAATGATGTAACGAATTCTACACACATCCAAATAAAAAATGGGCATTTTTTTCAAAAATTTCAGTAAAATTTTCACAAAATGTAGTTTTAAAATTTTACATGAAACATATGAAAAATTTAATATTTCACGATGTTTTCATTTACTTCTGTGCGAATGTCATGAAAGTTAACCCTCTGCACTCCGAGTACTTTTAAACTCTGTTTGATCTAATATCAGCACTATACTATCATTTAAAATAAACTATTTCCGCATCATTATACAATTTTAAAATTCTTAAAATAAAGTGGTTACTAATTATTAAGTTCTAAAATTTCTTAATTTTAAAGTGGTGAGTGTTGATGGTGCCTCCGTGGGGTCATCGGAGTGAAAAGGGTTAAAATATCCGAAGATCAAGGTGCGTATGGTTTATGTCCACTTTTCTCAAAATGACGATTGGATGGCCATCTGTTGTCTTTTGAGGATTTACAAAGTTTTGAGAAATAAATAACAAGAAAAATCAGTTTCTCCCTAAAGTTATAACGCAGTGAAGATGAGCCGTACTTTTGAAAAATCCTTCCTTTTCTCGATGAAAATCGCCTTCTTTCGAATCTGCTTCTATGGTCACAAACCGATCTTTCCCTGTGGTCTTCAAGAGAGTTCAATACGACGCTAAGTGGAAACTAAATTTTAAAGCAGATGCTTAATAAAACTTCAAAAAAATAAAAATTTTCTAGCTAATTTTTTATGTATCAATCAATTTTTAAGCTATATTTTGAAACTGATGCTTGCAATTTTAGGACAGACTGAAATCTACTGAATTTTTCTTTAATAAACATTTTTTAAAATAACAAAATAATATGAACTGATGTGTTATTTGTAATCTACATGAATATAATTCTCAAGACTCCTAAAATGAACGAATCTTCAAAGAATAAGTTAAAGTTAGAATGACATTAACGTGAAAACCCCTTGTATTTATTGTATTGTCTATGAGATTTTTTTTAAAAACAAAGCAGTCTTTTTGTATAAACTTGAAATTATTATACAAGCAATAGATTATGCGTAATAAAATAGTATCTTTTATATCAAATAAACATGTAGTTTCTGGTTTTAGCGTTTTTACGGATTACATTTTATTGCACAGATTGCTACTAACTAAATTTCATAAATACAGTTCAGGTTTATTTACTTGTTTAGTTATATGTTTATTATTATTATTATTTTTATTATTATTTTTATTGACATCACTGCATACTTAGGCAGATAGATGTTTGATAAACTTGTAAAACTTATCTTGTATAAACTTGTATAATCCCTTTTACATTCCATTTATTAAGCAAAGAAGTAAAAAAATAAATATTTTATCACTAGAAAACATTTATTTTAATTTTATTTCAATTAATTTTAATTTTTTTTTCTCGATTTATTTATTTGTAAAAGAGAGACAAGTGGCAGTTACGGTTAAAAAACTTAAATTTGCTAAAATTAGCAATATACATTTTTCATCCTTTAATACTTTATTAGCATTTCTTTCGTCGGAAACCTCAGCTTACGAGCTATCAAGAATTTTATCGTAAGAATTACCAATGCTTTACCTTTTATCGATGTTACCTAATCTAAGGTTCAGCAAATGCAGTCCTGTAAAATTTAAAAGTATTAGTACTATTGAGAGTGTAAAAAATGTTTTGATGAATGTGTGACGAGATTAGTAACGCAGATAGATGGTTGATGGAATATTTTGAAACTGAAGCACACAATCTGAATTCAAATAAAGGATTGATAACTCTATACCAATTTTTAATTTTAAAAATTGTCTAAAACATGGGCGTGACAGGAGGTAAATATATAGATTTGTTATTGTTATTGTAGTTCATTTACGTCGCACTAGAGCTGCACAATGGGCTTTTGGCGACGGTCTGGGAAACATCCCTGAGGATGATCCGAAGACATGCCATCACAATTTTGATCCTCTGCAGAGCGGATGCTTCGGTAGCCCAACGACCTGCACGCGAAGTCGAGCACTTTACGGTTGCACAGTTTAACGAGGACCAATACCGCACACCCTCGGTCCCTACGCAGACTGATCCAATAGGTCACCCACCTGCACACTGACCGCAGCCAGTGATGCTTGACTTCGGTGATCTGCTGGGAACCGTGTTTTAACGATCAGTCCACTGCGGGACATTTAGATTTGGATTTCTGTCTTTTAGAGCATTTTTTTTCAGAGAAACCGCAGCATCGCAAGTTTTTTCAATACATACGAGTTAAAAAATAAAAATAATAAAACATATAAATTCCAAGAATAATACATTTGATAAGGCAAGGAAGAAAAGTAAAGCTGTTGATTGTACCACTTGATAGAAACTTTTCTGCGAATATATAAGTCCCTCAATTAATGATTATTAAGACACGGTTCGTAGCATATCACCGAAGCCAAGCATCACTGGCTGCAGTCAGAGTGAGGATGGGTGAAAACTTTGATCATCCTGCCATGGACGGTATTGGTCCGCGTTAAACTAAAAGAATTTGTGGATAGTTGACCATTTAAAGCTCAGATAAAGCTAGTTCTAATTCGTCGTATGACTTTCGGGTAACTACTTCCGACTGATTTTTACACTTAAGCTTGAAAAAACGCTCAGTCGCAGATTCGCCTTCACATCCACACATTTTTCGCATGTTGTGCGCATTTTTGAATATTTTTGGCATGAAACAGTGAGAACGATTGGAAGTGTGTGAATCACGTGCAGCGGGAACGGTTCTAATGTATTAAAACTTAAGCGGTGCAAAAAGAAACAGTCCAAAGCGTCTGCAATTTGCTTGCCTGCCTAGCCACTTGTAAGCTCATAAAACTATGCCGCTGTTCAAAGAATGATAATAAAAAGATTATTTGGTTTTTACAGATGATAGTAATTATAGTTTATAATATCCCCTTTCAATAAAGCTATCTATGGCCTTTGTTAACAGCAAATAAATTGTGGAGAATGATTACTATAATTATTTTCAGTATTGGAGATAAACAAAATGTTGTTGAAGAACATTGTTCCTGAAAACGATTTATATTTATTCTAATTGCGAAATCTTTTAGCTTTTTTTTCTACTCTATCTACACTGAAAGACAATAAAAGTTTGCTTACGTAGATTAGATTACATCGGTAGCTTTGAAAGTAATGCACTCTTGCAGTTTTTTTATTATTAGAATTTTATTTCTGCCTCCGCAAGTTTTATCTTTCTGCAGTAAGAATTTACCGGTCAGTTGTTTGTAATTCTTTTTTTTTTGTTGTTGAAAGATTGCTAATATTGTCCTAATTATTTTTATATATTTATGAATTTGTCTACAGTTTCGTACCTTTATCTTTTTCCAAACAAATATATATCAGCTAAAGAATTTGTCTCTTATTCATTAAAAAAAAAGTTATTATTGAAACTAAATTGAGTTAGTAAGCAAGTCAAATTTATCCTGATGTAAAATTAACTTAATTTTGTTCATCTATTAAAAGATAATTTTAATCTAAGAAATTTAAAGCAAGTAGAAAATTTTTTGATTTTTACAAAGTGGAATATTTTACTTTTATAAAATGTGGATAGCTTAATTAAAGAAATGAAATATTTTTCCTCCTATTTGGGAAAACTTATTGTTTTGTAATAATTGTTGTCGTAATTACTGTTACTGTATTATCATATATTTAGTTTTTTTTGGTCAGAATTTCAATAATAAAAGAACATTATTATTTGACTATAAGAACATTGTTTGTAATTGTTTAGGTGCCTTGCTCCGCATACACAGAATGGGTACTAATAAAATTTTTTGGCCTCAGTTCTGTAAGTTTTGAGAAGGCAATTTTTAAATTATGAAAATTTTGATCTTTTTCCATCTTTGACTCTACAAACATAATCTTTTTTACCAGGCATTATAAAATTCTTTCACATCTGTGATGTTTTACCTGGCTTTTGGTCAATCTCAATCATGTTTTATGCTTTCTTAGTAATGTAATTGCTCACACCAAAATGCTGTTTGATTTTGACACATGACATAACTTTTCGGAAAAATCCTCAAAATTTTTCATTTTCAATTGCTGTTAGAATCTTTTTAAGCAAATCAAATATTTCGTTTTGTGAACTTTTGCATAAATGCAATCTTTTAATTGTAATAGATGACTGGGGAAAAAAAAATTCTTGTCCGAGCCACATGTGACTTTTTCCTTTTTAGTTGCCAATGACAGCCTACATTTGCAAATCAAATTGTCGCAAAGATGACACTGTCATTTCATGGATATGGAATCTTGCTTTAATTATTTAATGCACTTTGTACATCCACTGAATAATCACTTATTAATAATACTAAATATAAAAGTCAAAATCACAAAAGATTTTTTTGCTCCTTAAGTTGGGAGATTGGCCCTTTTTTCCGGCCTAATAAGGTGAATTCTTCAATGTAAGAAGAAAAAAAAAAGTTTTTTTTCTTCTTTACAGTATCTTTTGTAACTTTTATATTTAGTTTTATCAATTGCGGATTCCCCAGTGGAACTCCAAGGTGCATTAAATAATTAAAGCCAGATTCCACATCCATGAAGATGATGCCATCTTTGCTACCATTTGGATCGCTAATGCAGGTTGCCATTGGCAACTAAAACGATGACTAGAATAACTATTTTGAAAATTAGACTACCATGGTGACTAATTTTGCTAAAATACTGGCAAAAATAATTATTTTTCCTTCCATTGTGAAAAATCTGTGGCTTTTTTACAAATTCATAACTTAAAATATTGATCTGCATTTTTAAGTGATCTGAAATTATAAAAATTTATAACTCAGAAAATAATGGTTAAAAGATTTGAAATTCTATTTTTCATCTAATTTACTAGTTCTATCTCAGTGCCAAAATTAAGCAAAATACAAAGACTTGACATTTGATCATTGATTGATTTTATATGGAATTATCTGCAAAAAAATTTTTCTTTATTAAACATTTGTTATAATTCTTATATACCATACACAAATATGCCATATTTGGAATAATCTAATTTTCTTCATTGTGGGTATTTTTTAATCTCATTCAAACCTCTTTGTTATTAAGGTAAATAAATAGATGCATTTTAATATGAGGTTACTATCAAAATAATGAAACATTAATTTGTGGTGGGCAACAGTTTTCTAAATCAAATCATTGCCTCAATCATATTAGTTTTTTCTTCTGGTTTTATGATAAATGTTGTGTAAAACAGATCAAAATTGTTTTTTAATTTTAAGAGTTTCATTTTTGTTTGTATGATTTCTAAAAAATTTATATAAAGCTTTTTATATTTGACAAATTTTCTTCTATTGTAGAATAATGTCTTCTGTAAAAGAATACATTCTTGTGACAGGAGGTGCTGGATATGTGGGTAGTCACTCTATTTTGGTCCTTTTACAAAATAACTATAATGTAGTAGCTATAGACAATTTTTCTAATTCAAGTCCTAGTAAGTATATTATTTTTTCATTGGAGTTATACTTTCATGAAAAAATTTGCGTTAAATTTTTGTAACTTATTGTTACGTTCTCTGTTTTAATTACACGTAGACTAAATTTTAAAGAAGAATTAAAAAGATTCTATACCCTGCTGATATCTATCGGGATATTTTATTATCAGTTCCTTCTTGTTCATGCTAACTACCATCATCAAGGTGTCAAAAAATGTATTTTTTTGTACTTGCAAAAATTTTGTAAAAATTAGTGGGTTAATTCCATGGCTATTCTTGTTACATGTATTGCACATCACTAATGATCTTTTTATTTTAATTTGAACCTTTTTTTTTCTTGCTAAATAACAAAACAGAACGTTTATCTTTATTTATGCAAGAAAAACTTGATACACTTTAATTGTTCAAAGAAATGTTGAATTTAAAATGTGGTTACTCATGTTAACCTAAAAAGGACACGAAGCATTTACGAATTTGCATTAATGATTATATTATTTTATTTAAACTAATATAATAAAATCTTCATATCTTGAATCATTTTAAAAAGTGGAAGTCAAATTATTGAATTACAACTATAGAAATTTTTTAAATATAAACATATTTATTGACAAAAAGTTCTGGTTACTCTTTTTACATTACTTTAGAAGATTTGATAAGAAATTTACAAATCACATTATGAGTGTAAATATGTTCATATTAGTCTATTTAATTTCCTTAAAACAAAAATGATTTCTAAAATTAACAACAGCTAAAAAATTCAATTATTTATTTATTTTTTTGAATTTTATCTTCTTTGTTAATCATTGCATCTTAATTTTCAAGCAATTTCCGGATTTCGTCTACTGGAATCATAATATTTGCATAGTAAGATCCTCCACTTTGTTCATCACCTCACTGGGATAAAACTTAGCTTCATACTCAACTAGAACCTATTTTATTTTCCTGTCTCATATCATATGTATTATCTTTCTGTATTGTTGTAATTGGACATCATTTTAGACACCATGCAATGGGTGGGTTTTCCATTTACTGAGAAAAAGCAGTACATTTTCACTGTGCGTTTCATTGACAAACTTTCACTAAAAATAGACTTGCAATTTAGAAGTGTGTTTCTGTCCTTAATTTTTTCAGGGTCTATATTTACCACCTAAATCTTGGTTGATTCACTTGCTATAGCAAAATCAGAAGCATTACGGACAAGAGATCAACCTGTCTCTGTAATGTTCCAAACACCTTGCTTAGCTGTTGCCCTTATTCCATCACTATGTGGTTCCCTCTTCTAAAGAATTGAGATGATTGTTTATATATATATATATGTATATAGTTTCAAAGCATTTTACATTTAGTACTTTTGTTTCTTATAATAATAATGGAATTTTATTTATATGGAATGAGTTTTTCAACATAATCTCACTGGTTAAATTTTATATATTTGAAAATCTTAATTTTGTTTTGAAATTTATCATTTTTTTCCCCCTCAGGAAAATTTAGTTTTCTTATTATAATAATGAAGTTTGTGGCTCACGCTCTTAAATGTTTGGTATGCATTCATTTTTTTCTCAGTTTCAAAGTATTTATGTTATTTACTTCTTTTGTTTCTTATAATTATAATGAAGTTTTTATTTACATGGATTTCGATTTTCATAATGTCATTGAATTTAATATTTTTAAAATATTCTTGTTTTTTTTTTTTTGATGAAAACTTAGTTCTCTTTTCTGAATTTGTTCAGTGGATGCATTTATTTTAATAGTGTGTTTATGATGACAATGTGTCTCCTTCTCCTGAATGTTTAGGATGAATAAATTTTTTCTGAGTTTTAGAACTGTACTTTATCAAACCTTCCAATTTTTTGAAGTATGTGCAAACTATAGAATCTTTTGGTAGTGAAACAAAGAAAAAATTTCTATGGCAATAGGAATTTTGATAAAAAATATGTCACATTTTTGGCAATTTAATTTCTTTTTCAGAGAATTTAAAATTTATTAGGACAATAAGGTCTCTTTTTTTAAATGCTTGGGATATTTAAAAAAATAAAAATAAAAAAAGAGCTCCATTACTTTTCACATTTAATTTTTTATTTACATGGATTTTCAACATAATTTCACAGGTTAAATTTTTAAAGAGTTCTTGTTTTTTTTTTCTGATGAAAATTGAACTTTTTTTTCTGAATTTGTTAAGTGAAGAAATTTTTTTAATAGTGTATTGATGATGAAAATGTGGCTCCCTCTCCTGAATGCATTTTTATCTGAATTTCAAAGCTTTTTATATTTAGTTTTTTTGTTTCTTATAACAATGATGAGTTTTTATTTACATGGAATGAGGTTATCAGCATTATATTAATGGTTAAATTTTATATTTTTGCTCAGTTCTTATTTGTATTTGATATAAATTTGATTTAATTTCTTGCGACAGAATTTTACTTAAATTTCTATCTTTTTATTTTTTTTTTTCTTATCCCTAACTTAGATTTTTAAAAGTTTCTAAAAATTTATAATCAATTTTTAATGCTTATCCTTTTAAAAATCAACTTTAAGTCTCTGAAATTCTATTTTATTGATAAGTTCTTAATTCTTTTCATATAATTTGCATTATCTTTATTGGAATAAATACTGAAAAGTGTAAAAATATTTCATCAATTTTGATTCTTTGACTACAAGTTTTTAATTACTTAATTTAATAGCTTATTTTCAAAATGTGTCACTTAGAAATAGTCCAGTGTAAAAAAAGAATTATGATTTTTCTTACATACCGGTAACAATATTGCTGAAAGAAAATAAAGGAAAAATAAAAGAAAATGGGTAATACTGTTACTAATGGTAAAATATGTTGTATTTTATTTAAATTTAAAGGTGCTGTAGAAACAGATTTACATTGTTGAGTTTTCACTAAACTACTTTTAGTTCCTTTTATATTTTTTATGCAAATCAATAATTGCATTTATGTAATCTATTTATTGTCATTCTTAGTTTTTTTTCTGAAACTTCTCAATAATTATTTTTTTATATATTCTAGGTGATAATAATGATATGCCAGAGAGCTTAAGAAGAGTTCAAAATTTAGCTGAAAAAACATTAATTTTTTATCAAATTGACCTTTTAAACAAAGAAGCTTTAGAAGAAGTCTTCCAAAAAGTTAGTAAAATTTGTGTAATTATAATGTTAATTATTGTTATTTCTCCCGTACATAAAATATGAATGAACACATTTGTGAATGAAAATTGTTCAAAATACTTTTTAAGATGTCGCACCAGCTCCAACTAAATTATTATCCTAATAGCTTCCTAAAACTGGTCATGTTTAAAACTGTTCTATTTTTTAGAGCTTTTTTGTTAAATATTTTAGCAAAGTAGTGATCATTTTTAGGTTTGTTATTAGAGACTATCAAAGATCCAACTCATCTTAGCAACTGTAATATATTTATTATTTTTGAAAAAAAATTTATTTTTACCAATGTAATAAATTGAAATAAAGCAATTTATACTGTAGAGCTGTTTTTTTTTTTTTGTTGTTGTCTTGAAAGGGGTAAAAATAACAAATAAAAGGTTATAAACAAACTAAGATCCTCCAATTACCAAAAGAATTTTATTTTATTTCAAAAACTTTAAATAAATATACAGTCTCATCAGTTTTTATTATTTTTATTAGAATAATTTGAATTAAAGTAAATGTTTTATTATTTATCATGAAGTTTGTATTTGAATTATTACTCGTGTAGACAAATCTAGGCAACATTGCCAAAAAACTTGAGAGTTCTAATCGAAAGATTTTTCATTTGAAAAACAAAATGTTGGTTTCCTTTTCAATCCAAGTTTCTTGGGAAAAAAAGTTGTTCTGCGAAATATTTTCTGTAGAATTTTCGAAAGATGTTTCTTCCCCCTGTAAAATTGTTCTCTAAAGATTGTTTTTTATTGCGTATTGGAGAGATGAAAAACACTTATGATCTAGTCATCATGCTATACACTTGTAAAATTTTCACATGAGCAAGTTAGTGAAAATGTTTGTAAGCAATAGAAATTATACTATTCAGCATCTCATCACTCTAGGGCTAACACAATAGACTGAAAAAAATATTCCTTTTCTCTCACCGACCTGAGCCAAAACATGTCAAACCCACGCTTGAAATAGTTATATCTCGTTACCATAGTCACCATCACGGGTTCGTGCGAATGGCATGGGGAGTTCATACTTTAGACAAACTGTAGCTTTGCTCACTCAGTTTACTCTTTGTCCTATTCATTTTAATATCTTTTTTATTTAAGTACATTTGGGAATCCTACTCAATGTTGTTTGCCAATTTTCACAACTGCTTACGCAATTCTTTTCAAATCACTTTATATTCTCTTTTTCACCTCTCTGACCCAAATTTTGATGTATTACCAATGAGGTACCCAGTAAATCAAGATATTGAATCAAATTTTATTAGACTCTTTGAATTGTTATTCATCCTGTTTTTATATTATTTCCTTTAATTTTTACTTGTTTTATAATTTTATATTTTACAAATTAAAGAATGTAAGTTGTCTATTTATAACTAAAAGTTGATTCTCAAAATTATCTTTTCAGCATGCATTTTCTTGTGTGATACATTTTGCAGCTTTGAAAGCTGTTGGAGAATCGTGTCGTGTGCCTTTAGATTATTATCGAAACAATGTGGGAGGAACAGTGAATCTTTTAGAGGTAAAATTTATTATTCTCTTAATTTGAAATGTGTAATAATATTTATTAATGTTATTTTCTCACTTATGGCCATTTAAAATTATTGTACAGTAGAGAACCGATTATCCGGAACGATCGGGACCATCGCTTTTCCGGATAACTGATTTTTCCGGTTTTCTGAATCGCTACAAAAAGCCGTTTTTTTAATGTTAAACCCAACTAAAAAAAATTTTTTTGAAAATTATCTTAAAAAGAAGAAAAAATGATGAAGTAATACACTAATGATTATTTCCAAAATGATGGTAAGGTAAACATCTTTTAAAAAAGAAAGAAAATCCTAAAATCTTATGAGGAAAAAAAATGTTTTTTTTTTAAATTGCGGGAAAATGTATCTAATTTCGTTCCGGTTTTTTGGTTTTCCTGTTTTCAGATTTCCGGATAACGGGTTCTGTACTGTAGTTTTAAGTTTTAGTACTTTTCTCTCCACAGTATATGTCTATTTTAAAATCTGAGCAAAATACTTTCGTTTTTTTAACAACTTTTAAATCTATTTCAATTTATTGTTCCAATTATTTCAGAGCCTAAGACAATAAATCAATTACATGCTCTAACTGAAGCATGAAACTATTTTTATAATTGAACCATAAAAAAAGGAGGAAGAAAAACTTCGGGTAGATTAGAATTTTTTATTTTGTATGAATTTTTTTTCTTCCTGATTATGCCTGAAAGCTTAAAAAATTGCTTATGTGAGCTGACATGTTCTAAAGCTTCTATTTTTTTCTTATTTAGTGCATTTTTACTTACATATTGATAATAACAAATTATAAAATCTGAGTAACCTTTTTGCAAGGTGAAATTCTTCTCTTTTTTTATAACCTATTTGTGTCTATTATTGTGTTATGTCGTTTCAAGTAAGCAACCTCTCTGGAGTTTGCCCTGTAAATACTTATCTTTTGAGTCCATATCATAATTATCTCTTGTTTTTTTTCCCACATTATTTTAGTGTCAGACTTAGTTTATAAGACCATTTGACTTAATTACATTAAGTATATAGTTATATACTCAATTTAGCAATTTAATTTCAGTTTTTATAATAATAGAATTTGATCACACTTAAGCTTAAACTTTTAAAACAAAAATATTGCACTTATTCATCAATTTTATCTGATAATAGGCCAAATAGTTGCTCTATAATGTCTGATTGTCTTTTTTATGTATAAAAATTATTGTTTACAAATGTATAAAAAGAATTATTTTTTTTATGCATTTTAACTTTATTCCATAATTAAAATTTGATGTAGTGAAAGTCTTTTCTTATTTATGAAGTATATAGATAAAAGCTATGAGCTGTTAATTATGGTTGATAGTTAGACCCAATCATAGTGATTTCTTTTTTTAAAAAAAAAGTTTTAATATTAATAAAAATGTTTTAAATGTGCTGCAAAAAGTCCTGCATGTAATGCTTATAATTTTGACTCAAGAACAAAATTATTACAGATTTGTTTTTATCATTTATTAAATGTATATTAATATTTTATATTTTTTTTGCAAAAATGGTAAAAATAATAATAATAAATAAAGGGAAAAAATATTCATAATTTTAAAATTATTCGGTGAATTCTTAATTTTTGTTAACATCATTAGGTGATGAAAAATTTCAAGGTGAAAAGATTTGTATTTTCAAGTTCGGCTACTGTTTATGGCAAGCCAGAGTATCTTCCAATTGATGAAAATCATTCTGTTGGTTCGACTTGCACAAACCCTTATGGTCGAACTAAGTATTTCATTGAGGAGATTTTAAAAGATCTTTGCTCTTCTGATAAGGTATTGCATTATTATTATTATTTTTTTGAAAATTTTATATGAATATCTTGTGCTACCTAACAAAATGTTTATATTAAATAAAAAAACCTTTTTTTTTTAATTTCTCATCTAATCAAATAATATCTAAAATGAACTTGTAAAATTTCCCTTTTTTTCATATTTATGTTAATATAGGTTACTTTTTAATCTTTCACAAAGTTATTAAACTTGACTGAATAATCAAATTGAATGAATAAGGAAAAAGAATCAATAGTAATTAAGTAGATATTCATATTCAGGTGATAAAAAAACAAGAAATGTTAATTTTATAAAATTTTATCAGCGTTCTCATCCTATAAATTGTATAGTGCTAAATAATGGTATTAATATAATAAGAGTACAGTAGGAAATTTTTATATTACAGACATGCAAGGAAGAAATCATTCTGTTACAGGCATTATAAGAATAACATTTTGATGTTGATTGTTTATTTGCTTGTGAAGTTGTTAATTAATATACTAGCCTGTGTAAATAATTTAGTTATTATTAGTTTTTTATGTATATTTATATATATAATTTTTATCCTGTTAGCATATTTATGGAATATTTTTGAAATGTTTGTTGAAAACATTAGTTAATAGTTAAAAAAGGTTTCTATCAAATAATTTTGAATGGTTTAGTTAATTTTATTTTGGATCTTTGAAATATTATTTGACCTATAGTTTTAAATAAATTTTTTAAAAAAAGAAAGAAAAAAAACCTAGTTTATTAATTTTTATGGTTCTTAGAACAAATTTTACTCTGATAATTTGGTAGAGTGTTTATATGGGGGCTGACTGTTCATGACTGTTTATANGACCTATAGTTTTAAATAAATTTTTTAAAAAGAAGAAAGAATAAAAACCTAGTTTATTAATTTTTATGGTTCTTAGAACAAATTTTACTCTGATAATTTGGTAGAGTGCATTATCATGACTGTTTATATGGGGGCTGTTAAATATGTAAATTCTATTTATCCCCTGTTAGATTTCGCTTTAGATGATTAATACATACCTACTGCTCTTATCTACATTTTGTTTTATCACATAATTTGGAATTTTTTTTAATGTTTATCTATTTTGATGTTTATCACAGGATTGGACTGTTACATTGTTAAGGTATTTTAACCCAGTTGGTGCTCATGAATCCGGTGAGATTGGAGAAGATCCTCAGGGTATACCAAATAATCTCATGCCATATTTATCTCAAGTCGCAGTTGGACGCCTGAAAGAGCTACAAGTATTTGGAAATGATTATAAGACTGTTGATGGAACAGGTATATTCAATAAAGTGTATGAGTATCAGTTTATGTGTAATTTTAAAAGTCAACTCCTTTCAAAATGTATAAAGCACTAAAATGGATAAAACTCATGATTGATACAGATTAAGGTCATGTGTGACAATTAAGATTTTTCATAGTGACTTTTGTTAGCATTCTTTTATTTATTTTGGTACAGTTATAAACTGTATTAAAGTGAAGATTTTATTTATGCTCAATTTTGTTTTCTAAGTCCCTATTATTGTAATTCCTCTTGTATAATACAAGTTTATTTAATTAATATCTGAGTTACTAGCATTACATTGCTTCAAAATAATTTAAACATTTTTCAACTGAAAAATGTTAATCGTATTTTAAACTATTAAAAAACTCAATATAATTCTTGTTGCAATTTGAAAGAATTTTGCTATCAGTTGTATTATATAATTTTGTGTGATTTGTCAAAGGAATTATCTCTGTAAAATTGTAATTTTAAACTTTGTCTAACTGATGAGGAAACTGATTAAAGTAGTAGTATAAATTTGTTTTGTGAAGTAGTTCTTGACCTAACCTGACCTTAAACTATAATCTATAGTCTGTTTACTGTTGTAAGTAATTAACCTCAATCGTGTGAAAGATGTTGATCAACAATTGTTTCAGTTCAAATAATAGAAGCTTTTTTTTTGAGAAATTAAATTTCTCTCCCTAGAATCATGTCTATCTAATTTAGAGTTCTGTAGTAATATCTGATTTTTAAAAGTTTGGGAATAGGATCTATAAATTGTAAGACTTCAATCCAATTAATTTAATGTTGCAAAAATATGATATTCTACTTTTTTTTATGTTTAATAAATATAATTATATATTTTTTTCAATTAGACAAACTATATCTCTAAAAATAAAAATAATAGAAGAGTTAAAAACCAGTAATTGCAAGATAAACTATTAGTGGTTTTATTAATAATAATTATTATTTTTTGATTAAATGTTCCTTTGACTACATTCAGTGTCCCAAACAATTTTTTGGACTAATTTTTTTCTTCAATATTTTATTTTAATAATATCTTTAAGTTATTGTAAATTAATTATTTTTTGTCTTTTTCAATGAGTATTGAATTTCAATTCTTATAAAAGAATTGCCTTGCAACATAGTCTCCTTGACTTGGTTTAGTTTGTCTATGCCAAGGAGGGTAAGCAACAACAACAATAGAATTACCTTCAATTAATTATTCCAAAATGAATTTAAAATTTGAGTGACCTTTTCAAAGTTTTTGCTCAGACTGTGAAGACAAAATTAAATATTACTAGTGGTCTGATTATTTCTTAGTAGTACAGTCTGCTTCTGAAGTTAAGGAAGAAAAAAAAAACAATTTTTCTTCTTTTTTTAAAAAAAATAATAAATTTTAAATAATCGTATGCCTTTTATCTCCTAAAGAGCATGTAACCCTTTTCTAGACTTGAAATCAGATTACTAATTTTTTCCAACAAACATACAAGCTGGTGAATAGTGCCACTATTCCGATATCAATATAAATACCAATAATTTATCTAAGAGTGCCTAATTCTACATTTTCTGTCATGTTGTTCTTAATATTAAAAAAATAAACTCTTTTGAATATTTGTGCAACTGTTATTATATTTACTCTTTAGATCCATAATATAATGGACCCTTCATGTTTTATTATCTTATAATCAAAGTATTTACATTCTTTAGGAGTACGTGATTATATTCATGTTATGGATTTAGCAGAAGGGCATGTTGCTGCAGTTAAGGAAATTTTAGAAAGAAATGAGGGTGTTTGCAAGGTATTTTTCTTATATTTCATATTTCTTTTAGTTTAAAAAAATGTTTTTATGATTCACTTTGGTTGTACAGTACAGTACAACAGTACAAAGTCTCCTATCCAGACATCCATTTACCAGAAGCTTGGTCACTTTTTTAACAAGTAAAATAAACAAAACTCTTTTCTTTTATAATTTTTTTCTTAAACTGATATGTTAAAAAAAAGCGTAAGGATATTTTTATTTTATTTCTTGCTGCTTCTCTGATAGTATAACAGAAAAATAAATATTAATAGTGTTTGAAAAGAATCCCACAGACAGAGTTAATTTCTATTTCATCACAGAGTTTATATGATCCTCCAAAAAGTGATGTTAATGTGATAAAGAAGTTGCAAAATTCTTTTTGTTAGTTAAATTTTATTTTAAAATTAAGTATCGTTGTCCAGACTGGACATGACTGTTTCAAGTGATTGTTCAGAAAAGATAGCTATTTCTTAATTATGCAGATAAATCCATTGAATTTGAAGTAAATTTAAAACTTGACTTTTAGAATTGTCCACTCTTTACTTCAGTTCTCTTAATTTACACCAAAATCTTCATATTCCTTACAATTTCATTATCTTGACAGTAAACTATCTGTTTCAATAATCTAGATGAGTCATGTCGTTTATTCCTTTAATCATTCAATTCAAATTAAGGTTATTTTGAGTTTTGTGTGATAACATCCAAAGAAATAGTGGCTATAAATTTTTCTTGAAGTACTTATATCATTGGACTCTTTCTCGATCAAATTTCTTTTCCTTTTTTTTTTTTAAAGCGAGAAAACAATTTTTATAAAATTATTTTCTTGAAAATGACAATTACATAATTGAATAATTTCATTCTGACATACTAAATAATATTATTATTAAGTAGAATTACTGAGGAACTAGGAGGTTTCGCCCCCTGCTCGCTGGCGCTCGCCAATCCCCGGAACTGCTTTCGCAGTTCATTTCGGATTGCTTCGCAATCCAATGCTCGCTCATTGGATTCGTTCTTAACGTCTAGCTTTTGTATACTTTTTTGAACACTGAAGTTCCGAAAACTTTTCACTGTAGAAAATTCTAAACCTGTGCNTCATTAGTGTATTACTCCATCGTTTTTTCTTCTTTTTAAGATTGTTCCCACAAAAAAAATTTTTTAGTTGGGTCTAACAATAAAAAAAACGGCTTTTTGTAGCGATTCAGAAAACCGGAAAAATCAGTTATCCGGAATATCGATGGTCCCGATCGTTCCGGATAATCGGTTCCCTACTGTATTATTAAGTGGAATTATTGAGGAATAGTGTAGTTCTTTCGTCATATTTAAGTCTAATTGTCTTCATGATCAAAAGTATTAATTTACAACATTAATTAAGCTTAAATTATTCATTTATAGTATTGCTATTGATATTATTAAAGAAAAAAATATGAAAAATATTTATGAAATTTTTTTTTTTTCTTAAGTCCTATTTTTGTCTATTTATAATTAATTATTAATTATTTATTTATTTACTTTTAACTGCTGTAAATTAATTCTGCTTGTTAAAGCTTGCTAGCCCTAAAGTTTGATATTTTTTCTCTATCTTATAATAACCTTATCTTAAAATTTAATAAATTTTTTTTTTTGGCAGGTATATAATTTAGGTAGTGGCGAAGGTTATTCTGTCCTTCAAGTGATTCAAGCATTTGATGAAGGCTGTGGTGTTAAGATTCCTTACAAAATTGTTGGTCGTCGGGAAGGAGATGTTGATAGCATATATGCTGATGCTTCTCTAGCAGAAAAGCGTCTTGGTTGGAAGGCTAAACGCACACTGAAAGAGATGTGTAAGAAATTAAATCGTGTTTAAATAAACAAATTTTGAGAATGTAAAAGCACTTAAGAATCATGACATATTATTAAAAAATAAAGATAAGTTATTAAACAGAAATTTCTGGCTAACAAAAATTAAATGCTTTTTCATGGAATAAAATTAGGGAAAATATATTTTGTATCCACAGTCGTTCCACATTGTTCACTTGTAGATATATAGGGAGAACCATGGTTAGTTAGTGCACTTTTCAGCTTTTATTTTTATCTTGCTTAAAAATTAGCTATATAGTTGGATTTTTTTTAATAAGGTAAACCCCTTATGATTTATCTTATTAAAAAAAAAATTATTACTTCATGATTTTTTTACACAACGCTTAGTTGATAATTTTTTTTAATAATAATTTTTACATTTTCCTTGAAGGCGACCATCATACATATCAGAAACAATATTGAAGGATAAATGTTATCCAAAATAGTAATTGCATTATACATTTGAAATTGAAAAATCATTTTTAAAAATTAATAAAGTATGTATGATTTCATATGTAAAAAAGAAATAGTTGCTTCTATGCACAATTATTTAAATTTTCGGCAATTTTTTTGGATTTTATTTGAAGAAAGTTGTCATAAAATATTATGGAATTTATAGCAAATTAAAATTCTAAAAAGGCATATAAAACACTAACTTGGTAATGAAAAGCCTGATATTTCCTTTATAGAATTTGTGAGAAATTAGATTTCTATCATTTTCATGCATTATTATCTAGTTGGATATAAAAAATATTTATATTACTTTAGATCATAAATTTAATTCACATTAAGAAATAAAAAATAAACATACAGACACTATCTAAATTCATGCCTAAAAAACTTTTTTTTTTAGTCATAATTCCTTAAAATAAAATGTTTGATTTATGATTTTTTAAAAAAAAATACAAAATGCTCTATTTTTTGGTAATTTTTATGAGTGTAAAAAGTTTCTAATTTTGTTCTAGTTTAACAAAAGGTAAAAAAAAAAAATTGTAAAGTTTTATTATTTATTGTGAATTAAAGCTAGTTTAGTGTAACATCTATAAATAAAATTAATGAAATGCATATTTGTGGACAAGATTATTATAAAGTTCTTTTCTAAATGTTTTTATAAAATATTAGCTTTCAATTTTGTGTTTCTTCATTTCAGACTTGTATTTTTGAAAAAAAATTTCTATTTCTAATCTTTATATATTTAAATAATTATGAAGAGTATATCTGTAAGAGAGATTGTTATTGTATAACTCTAAAATAACTAGAGAAATGCTTTTAATTTAGTTTCTCTGAATTATTTTGTTGTCCTACCTACCCTAGTTTTTATCGAACTAATGTATCCCATATTCTGGGTTTCACAAAAGATCATAATAGTTTCTCGTTCTATCTTATAAACTTGCAAGTGATTATTAAATTAAAGATCTAACCTTTTAAAATAATTCAAATATTTGCTCTTTTTCTTCAAGGAACAATGCAATGTTGGAATGTAAGGTCCAACCCTACCTTGTCTCCTCCTAATATTTTTGATTAATAAATTACGTTTTTGGAAATTGTTTTTAACTGGATATGTGTAAAATTTCAACCTCAAAATGTCTTCATTTTAATTCAGAGTAGTTAAATAAATGTCCTTCATGTGGTACCTAAATGTAATAACATTTAATGATTCTGAGTTTTGAAAGGATCTAGTAGCTTGTAAAATTCACGAAAAAAAACATGTCTGTTCTAAAATGTACGAAATTGTTGTTAAAGAGTAATCTTAACATGTTTTGCTATCACCCTGTTTTTAAAAATCATTTAAACTTAAAATTTTTTTTAATGATCTAAATTAAATGTCCTCCTTAATTCAATTTCTAGGTAGGATTCTCTTTTAATTGTTAAGTTTTAGTGAATTATTCTGGAAATCTTGTTATGTTTAAGAAGGCAAATCTCATGAGAACAAATCATTTGTCAATTAAATTTTAAAAAAGAAATTTGTTTTGTTTAACTAATCATTTGTTCTAAAAAGTGGCAGTCTTAAACTGTAGATTCTCAGTAAATTCTGGAGATGCTGTATTTGACAGGTTTTTCCCCCCTTCTCTGTGTATATACGATACTCAGTTTGAACTAAACTTGAAATAACAAGTTTAGGTCCTAAAATAACACTGTATAATAAAGAGTGTGAAATGTCCTAATTTTAATGACTTGTGAAAAATTCTGCATTCCAACTATTTAGTAGACACATAGCTATAAATGCATTAATAATAGAAATAATAAATGCTATAAAACTTATTAATAACTTTGAAGTGCTTCATTCATTCACACATAGGTTAAAAAAAAATTTTTTTTTGTTGTCTCAGTTGGGTGAAGCATTCTTTTCCTAAATATTTATATTTTAAGTCAAGTTGATTGCTAGTCTTAACTTTTTCATAAATTCTCCATTCTCTTTAGTTACTGCCAAGTTCCATTTATATAATGAGTAATAATAAAGTTGTTTTTTCTTTTTTCATAGGTCAAGATACATGGCGATGGCAGTCAAAAAATCCAAAAGGGTATAGAGCATGAGTAATATTCTTTTGGAGATATGTTTTACGAAATTATGCAATAAGATCATTCTATTGTGCAATATTTATTTCAGAAATGAAACTAGTCCTTATATATTTAAACTATTTGTTCTGAACGATTGACAAATTATATGATTGTTTACCCCACTCAAACTGCTACTATTAACTGAGCTTTCCTGTACTTATTTACTTGAAAATTTGGAATTGAAATTAATATTGAATATTTATTTAATTGTACAATGTTTTCAAGTGTTTGTTTTGCATGTCAAAAGTGTTTGTTTAAAGATATTTTTTCACTTGTTTAGGGAATTAAAGATATACTTGTATGTATCGAAGAGGGATTTTTTTTATAAAAATATGCCTACTGCATGTTCTTATTATTAAGTTTACATTTTGCTATTTATGGCTTTTGTGCTTTATTTTCGCTTTTAACTATAGAGTTTTTAAGTAATGTTACAAAAAAATTTCTGATTGTTTCAAATTAAAAAAAAATGGAATTTAAATAATTTTGTGTTCCACTTGTTTATGTTTTACATTCATAGTAAAGTTCATTTGAAAGATAACATTTAAAAAAAAAAACATTCCCTTTATTGCTTGTATTTAGTCTATAAACATGCATATCATTGAAGCAATCATATTTCATATCGAATAGAAGTTTAGAAAATTATTCTGTTTATGTTTATGTCCAAAAGGTTTCAGAAGTTATAAAAATTCTGACAAAAAAATCACAACAACTTTTTTTTTTAAGTAAAAAAAAGGATAGCAGACACAGAAAATATTAGGTCATTAATTTCACTACCTATTTTTTTTTTGTATTGCGGGACAGAAACGAATAGCAAGAAAAAAATAAAAAAACTTCTGTCTAGTCAAGCTTTTTCTTTAAAATATATCTGTATAATGTGTTTACTTGTGGACATACAGATATTTACTTCTCCATTTTGAATGGCTTAATTCTAGTCTAGGGCAGTCCACAGAAATAATATCTACTGAACATATATTTTTTAAACTTGAAAATGTGTGTTATTTTCATATAATATTCACAGCTGACAATGTGATAATGGCGAATTTTAACTTTATTGATTATGTGTTATAAAAGTGTAGGGTTTTTTTTTGTAAGAAAATATCTTGTACAAGTGATTTTTCATCATGGTACACAGTATTTTTTATACAAATATGCCCAAGTAGAGCAACAATTATAGGTGCTTGATACACATTTGAACAAAATATTTGTCAAAGTTTCTATTTAATATTTTTTCTATTATTATTTTCTAACTTTGTGCTGGCACAATTCGTATTGTTAAGTAAAAAAAAACTTTTTTTATCCATTAAATGATTATTTTGTTATATTCTCAGAATAAATTGCAAATTCTAAAAGTCTTTTTAAATAATTTATTATATTTAAGCAGTAATTTATTATAGTTTGTTATTTTCCTTCTAGTTAATGGTTTTGTTTAATTTATATTACATAATACAAACTTTATAAGTGTTTTTAGAATGAAAATATGTTTATGTTAAAAATTATTGCAATTGTGAACTAGTATTCTTTTTTATGAACTAGTAAATTAAGACACCAGCAATTATCTATAAATATTAATTGCCTCAGTTAAATCTTTTTTTGCTTTTGTTATGATTGTGTATTTGATAGCTCGAAAGAAGAAGAAAAAAGAAATTTCTGTAAAGACATTACTTAAAATATTTGAAACAATATTCTTGTAACTTTTAAAATATTATATTATATATTTTATCGTTAAGTAATATTTTCATATTTTAATATACATAGGTTGTTTTGGGGTTAAAAGATATGCATTTAAGTCTTTTGATAGCTGTATTTTTTTTAAATAGGTTATATGCACTCTGTGTGAGCTTGTTCATTTTTTATTTATAATTTTTATGCACTTTTATGTGTGTACATTCATATTCTAATGTGTTTTTGGTTATTTAAAGTATAACATTTGAATTTATAGATTTAGTATTGCAGATTTTTGAAGTTTTTATTTCCATAAAACTTTAATGAATAAAATTAGTCTGGTGTGTGCTTAAATTTGAAACCACTTGATATGGTTGAAATTATTTAGTTGCAATTTACTTCTTTGTAAAAGTATGCAAAAGAGTTTTGAAATTTGAATTGTTTTTATTTTTACCCCCTTTCTATCTTCGATTTTAAATTAAAAATGTTAATAAACAATGTCTACAAAATTTATAAATTGCTGCAATTATGGATAAAATTAAATTCCTTATGATATCCTTAGCTCATGCATTACCTTGTTAGGAAACTCTTTTGTATATAAAATAGATAAGCATGTATTTTCCAGCTTTGAGTACTTTATGCATTACCTATTGATTATTTGATTATATTTAAAAATTAAACTAAAATTTTCATTTTATGTCATTGAAAGTAACATATTATGGATGTTAACTTTCTTAATTTTTTTCCCCTTCAAGTGACCTTAGACATTTTCCAATTATAATTTTTAGTTTGTACTTATAAGGGTTGCATTTACAGTGGATATTTTTAAAAATGTTTTCCTCTGATATGGTATTTTATACATGTTTAATTTAAAAATTAAAACAGATATTCAATCTGCTTCAGGTCCTCCCATAAATTTGAAATGCATTAAAAATCATAATTAATCCACTTCATTATTCATTGTTCAGCCTTTTCTTGTTATTCCTAATTTTTCTGCTGTAATAAATTAAAAGTTTTTCCGGAAATTATTTTAAAGCAAGATATTCATCTTATTTCATAAAAAAAAATTTCAATTTTTAAAAAAAAGATTTTTCTCTTATAACTTACATTTTTAAAATAGCTGTGTTTTATTTTAGAGTAATGTTCAAAAATGATGTTGTTTATTTCATTGTACAATATTTTTTACTACAATATTACTAATGACTTACTTCTTACTGTTAAGTCAAAATATAACATTTTATAAAAACAAGTTGCAATAAATTTTATAATCTTTTAATTTAACTGTTCTCAAACTGTACATAGTTAATATGCATAAAATTTTATTAACTTCATTATTTTTCATTTTCTAGTCAATATTTATCGAAATAAAAAATTTGCCTGCCTACATCTTTTATTTTTCTGTTTTTAATGTTTCTCGAAACATTTATAAATGTTTTTTACTCTTATTGTGTATTTTTTTTATCCTCCCATGTTACAAGTTACAATGTTAAAATTAAAATAAATGAACATGAGACTTATTATCTGGCAGCATTTTAGTAAAGATAATTATCTCTATATGTTATTTTTTATTAGTTTTTGAAGTATTATTTTATGTACTTAATATTTAAAATGATTTTATTTAAAAAATTTTTAATTTTGGAAAATTACCTAACTTGTCCGCAATTTTATTTTAGTTGCATATAACAGTCACTTCATTGTTCGTTTTATTTGGAAATAAAACTTTGAAAAATTTTATTCATACTTAAATTAAAATAAAATTATAATAATTATATAAACATAAATAATTATTTATTTTAAATGAAATATCATTTATTTATAAGAAAGACACAGCATTTAGGCTGAAATTTGAAAATGTATAGGCTTTGTTTCTGCAAAGATTACATAAATCTATGATTATTCAACTTGATCTATCAGTCTATATTTAATTAGGTTTTTAAAGTAATGTTTAGTAAGTAAAGTTTAAGTCTTAAATCCAATCTGTGTTAAATATTTTAGAATACAGTAGATGCCTGATTATCCTAACTTCGATTTACCAGATAGTTTAATTATCCAGATTGTTTAAGAGCAATGTATTTTTCCAAACTACTCCACTTGAATTTTCCCCCCATAAAATGCTTCTTCAAATACAAAATGCCTGAAAGATGTAAAAAAATGGCTTTTGTCCCTTGGTGACTTTGAAAATAAGTTCTTTCATACCGCCCTGTTACAATGTGAATGGCAAGTAATTTTGAATTTATAAGGGAAAAAATAAAACTTTTAAAAGCACCATTGTAATATGCTATGATAGGCTTTGTATATGTTTGCCAGACCTAAACCTGGAAAAAAGTGCTAAGGGAAATTACTTAATAACATTCTCTTAGCTGTTATATTAAAATTTTCCAATTATACTGATTTTCTGTTTTACGGATCAATCTTGTTCTGTATAATTGCCGCTCTACTGTAATTTGAATGAGTTGGTGTAAGAACTACTTTTAAACAGGCTAAAATAATAAATAGGGTAGTACTTTTTTTTCCTCAACTGGAAAAGGGGGAGGGATTTTTGTACTTTTTCCTACTCTTTGAAAGAGAAATATTCAGATTAAAATAAATAAGTCATATACTGGGGGGATTTGAAATTTTTTTTAATTGAAAACTGTACAAAAAAAGCTCAAATAAGGAAAGCAAATGTTAATTATTATAAATGAGGTCTCCTGAACTAGTATTCAAAACAAATGAGGATCAGGGTAAAATTAAGTCATTTTTTAAAATTTTCCTCAGGGGGTTTACCTTTTTTAGGTAAACACGGGATTCACGACCCCGAGGTACCCCAGTGATCTTTATTCTTCGAAACTAACGAATCTTTGCTCTGGTTCGAATTTATAATATGTTTAAACTCATTTCTTAAAGTTCACACACAACTCTTGAACTATAGCTTCACTTTATTTTTTGCATTATCACAAGAATGCTAACTCACACATCTCGAGATCCGAGAGATAGATAACAACTTCACAACAACAAGGAAAAAAGCACACACTCAAAAACAAAACAATTGGCGAGAGACGCGTGTGGCGTGGGGCCTCACAATTGGCGAGATATTCACAACATCGCCACACGCATACATTCTTCCCGCCATGAAATCCCTCACAAAAGGGTTTCATGAAAAATTAACACTAAGAAAACATTTGTTTAAAGATCATGAACTAACAGGAAAAATAATCACTTAAACAATAATCTCGGCACTTACAAAAATTTACATTGTTTGCCTAAATATTGACGTGTATAAATTTACAAGTTAATCTCTTAATTAGGTTTAGGCAGAATGCACACTCTAGAAATAGCTCTTTTATAAATGCCAGAATGGGTTTTCACCCTTACTACCCTAACCAGATTATCGTCACCTTTATACAATTCAATAATACGGCCTAATGGCCATTTATAAGTGGGCATGTTGTCTTCAATCAGAGCAACAAGGTCCCCGACCTTAACATTATCTTCTTAGAAATACCATTTGTTTCTTTGTTGTAGCCCAAAGTAACTACTGCTCCACTTTTTCCACAACAATTGAACTACCAATGTAACTCTTTGCCATTTTTTCAGGCAATTTTTATTTAGATCAATTAAACTTGGTTCAACAATAGTACTCATAGACCCGCGGATAATAAAGTGTGCTGGAGTTAAGACATTGAAGTCATCTGCATCATTGGACGAGGGACAAAGAGGTCTAGAGTTTAAAACATCCTCAATTTGTACACTGACAGTTAAAAATTCTTCATATGTTAAATTTAAACCACCTACAACACTTTTGAAATGATATTTGAAAGACTTGACTGCCGCTTCCCACAAACCCCCAAAAGAGGGTGCTCGCGGAGGGATGAATTTTCATTCAATTCCCTCGGAAGACAAATAACCAGAAAATTGGCTATCTTGTCTAAACAACACGTTCATTAACCTTTTAATCTCGGTATCTGCACCGACAAAATTTTTTGCATTGTCCGAGTAAATTTTCGTGGACTTGCCTCCTATGGCAAAAAATCGTTTTAAAGTAGCTATAAGAGCTGCGGATGTCAAGTCTGTTACGATTTCAATATGAACACATTTGGTTGAAAAGCACACAAAAATACAAACAGATTTTTTGCAGAGTGCCTTTTCTTTGATTTGGGTACTTAATCATAAATGGGCCGCAAAAATCTACCCCAGAGCAATTAAAAGGGTAGTCCTGCACGACTCTATCTCATGGCAGGTTGCCCATCAATTGGGAGTTTACAATTAAACCAATTGACTAAAAAACAAACAAAGCACTCATGTACTATTTTTATGCATACGGAACGATCACTTAATGGCCAAATTTCTTTTCTAATCTCATGTAACAATGCTTGTGGACTGGCATGCAAGTACTTTTTACGAAAATACTCAATAATTAATTTTGTCACCTTATGATTAGAAGGCAGCAGGATAGGAAATTTTGAATTGAAATCTAAATCACTATTTGAAAGCCTACTTCTAACTCGTAAAACACCGTTTTCATTTAAGAAAGGATGGAGAGTTTTTATCTTGCTGTCCATTGATACCATACCTGTCCCTTGAAGGTCCTTGATTTCTTTCTGAAAGTCAACACCTTGAATAAATTTTATGAGGTATATTTCAGATCTTTGAGTCAAGTGGGCCTCTCTTTTTCTGGGATGTTCGACAATTTCGAATCTACAAACAAAACTTAATACACGTATTAACTTAAGATATTTGCTACAAAACTTTAGTAAATTATCAATAAAAGAGTTAACTGTTATGTTACAGCAATCCGAAACTTTAGAGTCAATTTTATGTTCACTATTAAAGTTATCTCGTTGAATTGGAGGAGCAATCAACTTTGAAGGGTACTCTTCATCCTTCAAGAACGGTGGACCTTCGAACCACAAGGAGTTATGCGAGAGTTTGTCTAGGTCAAGCCCTCTGGACAGCAAGACTGCTGGATTCTGGTCCGTGGGAATATGTCTCTACTGCTGCGGTGACGTCAAGTCCTGGATTGTTGCGACCCTGTTGGCCACAAACGTCTTTAGTTGTGACGATTCTTTCATAATCCACGAAAGAACAATCATCGAATCGGACCAAAAAAACACGTTACAGTTATGCAAGTTCAGAGTTCTCTGAACTCTTTTCATTAGTTTTGCCAAAAATAAAGCAGCGGACAGTTCTAACCTGGGAATTGTGACGGCCTTTACCGGAGCACTCCTGGACTTGCTCGAGACCAGCCGAATCAATGTGGAGGCGGAATTCTTAGTTTTGACATAAATGACTGCTCCATAGCATTTAGCACTCGCGTCTGCAAAGGCATGCAGTTGAATGCAGACAGCCTCTGGAAGGAAGATGCGTCTCATAATCTCCACGGTTTAAGTCCTTAAAGACGTAAGGAATCTGTTCCAATCTCGGGCTTCCTTCTCAGGTGACAAGTCTCCCCAATCAATTTTCTGAAACCACAAACTCTGCATAAAATTTTTTGCCTTAGCTATCACGGGACCGACTAATCTGAGGGAATCTACGATTCTCGCGATCGTAGACAACACTTGACGTTTTGTGTAAGCACTATCTTGAGGGTCAGTTTTGAACACCTAACGTCTTGATTTCTTCTCTGTCAGAGAAGGAATAGTCCTTATCGGAGCCCGTTTGCAACGATTGACAGTTGCTACAAAATTTGTGTAGCTCAACATTTTGAATGCAAATGGACTTTGCATTTGATGCAAATAAATCGTGCGGTTTTTGCACGCTTTACATCGTCTGCGGGGATTTTTTTTTTCTTTCATGCTCACTTATTGTACGTCCGATTCTATCAGTAGGTACTTCTTTTGGTAGAGTTGCAAATGATGGGCGATCTTTGTTAGGATGGGTAACTTGTAATATACTTTCACCAGATGGATTGTTCTTGGATTCAGTTTTTAATTGGGCAATAGCTATATAAGATCTGAAGTCTTTTTTTTCCCCTCCAAGCCCTGAGCATGTACCTAGGTTATACAAAACCCTTAACCATAAAGCCCAGGACTTGGCCACTTGTCCAGCTCACCCCAGCCGAGGAACGGGCCCAGTCAGCGGTATATATTTTGATATGTACTGGACAATATTTGCAGTATATAAATAGTTACAAAGATATAGAATTAGTTACATAATAATTTCATTGAGACTTCTAGGTTGTATAATAAACACATCAGAGGAAGAAAATAACATAATGATGTTCATAATTTTACAAAGAAATCTTTAAGAATAGTTGATTACAAGGAAAAATAGACTACTTAACATGATAATTAAAAAAACTATTTTTTTTTTTTTTTGAACTGAAAGTGTGGAAATTAAGAAGTAAAAAGACGAAGAGAAAAAAAAATTATACAGTATAAATTTGTAAAATAAGAAGCTATTAAAATGTTAATAAATAGTCATTATCTGCTAAAAAGTTCATTACTGTTATTAATCTTGTGGTTAAAGTATTGTTTATAATGAAATTTTTCTGCCAGATTTATAAGTAATATTTTTGAGCTAGTTAAAATTCTATGTAGCTTACTGAAATTTAATATAACGCTATCAATGATGTT